GTTCCACGCTTTATTTCTTCCCAGTGTAAGCCTCTTTTCCTGTGACAATCTGCTGGAGAAACGAGGGAACAACAGTGTCGAGTGATATATATATTTATTTATTTATTTATACGGAATTAACCCATTAGAAAAATTACAAGAAAATTGTTACATTGAGGTATAAAAATTAATGGTAACAAAGAAAAATATAACAACGCTCAACCTACACTTCTGCAGCCTATATTTTCTATTACAACTCACAATTAACAACAATAATTTTGACAACTAACTTCGACAACTGTCTCTGACTTAGCAACTCTTTTCTCTACAACTCTGCTGTCTCGACAACTCTTCTAAATCTCATAACTCAGAACGTCCTTGTCCTTTTATATCCTTTTTCCCACCCTGCACACCCTGCACGCGTTTTCCAGTGCCTCCCCCAACTTGACCAAATATGCTAAGGGCCTGACACATTGCCCAGGGTTTTTCCAACTAACCTAGCCTTCGAACCCTTGGTGACTTTAAAGCTACGTGTACGTGCAGTGGAAAACTTGCGATACTACTGTAGAATGACGAAACTGGTCTTGAGACACCGAAAATTCACGAAAGAACAAGAACACGATAACGCAAACTCAAAACTCGTAAACTGATTTAACTAGGGTTTTTAGGGAAAGATCGAGAAACGAGGACAGTCGATGCATTTAGAACTGAGAAGGTGAAGTAGAATACCAAGTGGAAGTAAAGAAATTCATTTTTTCACGCAGAAATTTGGAATTAATTTTCTTAATGTTGAAATTACTATTGCAGGACGGCGAAAACTGGTTTTGAGACACCAAAAATTGACAAAACAACACGAACAGAATAACACAAGCTCGAAACTCATAAAACTACTTTAACTTAGGAAAAGAATACCAAGTTAACGAAACAAAAACACACAAAGACGCACTCTTTTAAAACTCTCTTTCCAACACCAAGCGACTCACGCTTGTGCTGGTCACAACCGATTTCTAAGGACTCTGTTTTGCTTGTCAATAACTCTATTCTGCGCAATTTCGCGCAGTTCTGACGCAGTGGCGAGATTTTATCGCAAAGAAATCGAATTTTTGGTACAAAATCGCAGAAGCAGCTTTCGAACTGCGCTGAAAAGGAATGAATTGTGCGTTATTCAGTGAAGGACCACTCTTTTATGCTTTCCTTAATCTACGCTTCACCTCCCCGTAGAGGAGTCACGCAACTTAATTTTGTTATACAGAATAACTTTTCGATTTGCTTCTAGAAGATATCGATCGGTTTACGATTTGTTTTTGTTGGCAATAGCCGATTCGCGATTTCTTTTGGTATTCTACACTACAATATTGTGTTTGTAAGGGCACGTTTTTAGCAAGATCAGCCATTTTCATTACACTGATACTTTCAGTAATAATTAACCCTTTGCACTCGAGAGGCGTCTCTCAGTCGCCATTTAATCAGATTCTAAAGATGGATGTTAATTAATGTATGAAATTTATAATGACCCAGTGATGCGTGGAATATCGAAGTAAAATAATTCTGCGTCTTAATTTGCATACGATTTCTTATTTACCTCTTTAAAGATATCCTCGACTTTATGGCAGAAAGTCTTCGAATTACTAGTTTCCTATAAAAGGAAAAAGTCGCCTAGGGCT